AGGCTGAGGGAACAGCCAAGGAGATTACGAGACATTTATTTTTTCCCCTCTGCCTCTTATGGAAGGGTGGACATGAGCTTCTCTTTTCTTCCCAGTGCCTCCTCATCTCCTCTGCTCAGGATGTCAAACTCACTGGAAGGAGGAAAACCCCAGTTCTGTGTTTCTCTGTGATCTGCAAGCCTGGAACATCAATTCAGGACTAAGCACTTTCTGCAGGCTGTGCTGAATGACTGTTGTTATCAGTAGGAGGTTTGCGATAAAGGGGAGGAAATTGTGTTTTGATAGTAAATAAGAGTTCCAGAATTATTTATTTTTGCCATATTCAGTTTCAGTAAGTTCCTGTTTGGTTTTCAGAGTGCTGCCTTATCAGCTTGTGGCTATTTGTGTCCTCATTTTTTTCCTGCCTTTTTTTTTCCTGCTCCGTCTATGTTTATCTCTGGCAGCTCCCATCCGAAGAACCTCACCTGAATTTTTTTTCCCAGTCCTTGTGCTAAAACAACCACAGTCATTGAGGCTGTGATGAGGTGCAGAAGCCATGTGGACTCATAGAGCAGACAGCAAATGCTTGTTTGCTGGACGTTTTCAAGCACATTCATGGCTAGAAGCGAAGGTAAGAAGGAAAGGGAGGAGAGTACATGGCAGTCATGGAATGGCTGTGGATGGAAGGGACCTCTGGAGGTCAGATGGTCCAGCCCCCCATTCCAATCAGGGCCACCCAGAGCCCGTTGTCCGGACCATGCCCAGATTGATGGCTTTTGAATATCTCCCTGGACTCTACAACTTCTCTGAACAACCTGTTCCTGTTTCCTTATGTCCAGAGGGAACCTCCTGTGTTTCAGTTCGTGCCCCTTGCATCTTGTTGTGTCCCTTGGGCACCACTGAAAAGAGCTCGACTCCTCTTTTCACCTTCCCTTCAGACATTTATATACACTGATAAAATCCCCTCCCTGGGACTTCTCTTGCCTTTCCCTCTGAGTTCCCTCCACCTTTCCTCACATGAGAGATGCTCCAGCCCATTAATCATCTTAGTGGCCTTTCACTGGACTCTCTCTGGCGGAGATGCAGCATTTCAGGTGTGGTCTCACCACTGCTGAGTAGAGGGGAAGGATTTACTCCCCAGCCTGCTGGCAGCACTCCTAATACAGTCGAGGATGCCACTGGCCTTCTTTTCTGGAAGGACATTTATGGGCTCATGTTAAATTTGCAGTTGACCAGAACCCACAAGTCCTTTCCAAAGGCTGCTTTCCAGCCAATGGGCCCCCAGCATGTGCTGGTGGCTGGAGTTGTTCCTCCCTGGGCGCAGGACTTCATGGGTCCCCTTGCTGAACTTCGCAAGGTACTGTCTCCAGCCTGTCCACATCCCTCTGGATGGCACAACAACTCCCTGCTGTGTCAGCCATGCCTCCCAGTTTTGTGTCACCAGTGAATCTGCCAAAGGTACACCCTGCCCCACCATCCAGATCATTAACGGAGCTGTATTGGCCCCTGGGGTCACCACTCCAGTCACAGGCCTCTATCAGTCTTTGTGCCATTGATCATTACCCTCTGGGTCCAGCCCTTCAGCCAGTTTTCAGTCCACCTCACCATCTGCTCATCCAGCCTGTGTTTCATCAGCTTCTCCATGAGGATCTGGTGGCAGACAGTGCCAAAAGTCTCAGCAGACAACATCCACTACTCTCCCCTTGTTGACCAAACCAGCAGTTTCATGGTGTGAGTTTATACTGTTGGTGAAGCACGACTTGCCTTTGGTGAGACCCTCCTGACTGTGGCTGATCACCTTGTTCCTCGTAGGTGTGCAAGCAGTGTCCAGGCTTAGCTGCTCCATCACCCTCTCAGGGATCAAGCAAGGTCGACTCCTGGCATCCTCCATTCTGCCTTTCTTGGAGTTGGGAGTGGTGTTTGCTTTCCTCCAGTTTCCTTGGGCACTTCTCCCACTTGCCATGATCATTCAAAGATGATGGAAAGTGGCCTTGTGATGAGACCTTCCACCTCCCTCAGCACTTGTAGGTGCATCCCATCAGGCCCAGAGGACTCACATATATGCCATTTGCTTAAGCATTCCCTGACCTGATCCTCCTTCATCAAGAGTGCATCTTCTTTGCTCCTTATTCTCACCTTGGACTCTGGAGCCTGGGGTTCCTGAAGAGCCACTATACCAACATTTAATACAGTATTTTAGAGTATGAGGGCTCAGCCTCTGGGGGGAGGATCAAGTTGCTGCCTGAGAAGCAATTTGATGGTTTTGTGTTATAAATACATTGTCCACATTTGCACCTATAAGCTTAACAGGGCCAGAACATGGTTTTATCTGCTGCAGTTGGTTTACTGTAAGGATATAAGAAGAATGGGTAGGGGTCAAAGTGTTTGCCTGGGACACAGGGAAAGCCCACGCTCCACTCACTGACCAGACACCAGGCAGGTAACTTAGGGTGCACCTGCATGGTAACTGGAACAACCAGAGGCATCTTACCACAGCTCTGTACAAAGATTAACTGGCCCTGCTGAGAGACCAGACTGATTAGGTGGGCTAATTTCAAGATCCAGACCAGTATCTTTGCTGTGCCAGCTTTCCTCCTTAGGGTTTTCGGGTGCAGCGCTGCATCGTGGCGCACAAACCTGCCCTCAGCTTGTCCCACGTTTCACTTGCCCGTGTTTATCACATAGACAGTTTTCTTTAACTGGCAGGAATTTTGTGAGACTAATTAGTGAGTGTGAAATGGCAAGAGAGACTAAAAGATAACACTGAGATGTTAGGAACAGTTTTCCTTCACAGAACTTTACCAGCTATCTTGTCGCTAGAGATACTTATTATTTTTACTTTTGAAGGATACCAAAAATATGTAGTAGCTAATGTTTAGTTATTTTCCTTTTTCATGCACCTTGTGAACTTGGAATAGCCCTCTCTGAACATTCAGGATCTCACCCATCAAAGCATAGCTCTGAGGATGTGATCAGTAAAGTAATTAGTTTTTCATAATTCTGTGTACTTTAAAGCTGGGGGTCTGACTTGCTCCTAGGCCCTGATAGGTGCTATATTTTTATTAAGCAGCTTCTGTGTTTTCCAAATTCCAGATTTCCTTTTAATTAGCAAGTCATATATATATCTATATACATATATATATATATATATAAATATACGTATATCTAGATATCTAGATATCTGTCAGAAACATAAAATGAGAGAGATGGATATAAAGTTCATTTTATAAGGGTTGTGGAACAAGAGAGTTATAAATGCATCATTCGCTGTGTTTGCCTCACATGTCCTGTTTTGGTCCTTTGAAGTAAGAATTTTGTGAACTGTTTCCCTCTGTTTTGGAAAGGCAGAAGAAAACTGCAGGCCTGGGGCTTCCTCTGACCTAGACTAATGTCAGAGTAGTTCTAGAACGTTCTGCTGGTAGAGCTGCCTGAGGCACACGAGCAACAAAGAAACATCTCAGTCGCTCACTAGTGCTGCCAGGGTCTGCATCTGTCCTGGATGCTCTTTTTCACCCTGAAGACGAAAGGTGGGCAGAATTTTAGGACCCTGCCTGTTGGTCTGAACTTTCAGCTTTGTTGCAGGTGGGTGGAATCGTGGCTGGGACTTGACACAGGTGAATGTGTGTGACAGGGTGGGACAGAGCAGGGCATACACTCAAATCTACCACCTGGAATCTGAGATCACCCCGAGTCCCACGTGACAGATGTAAGGAAAGGGAACAGGATGAAATCACAGCTGTTTTACTCAATTTAATTTTTAAAGCTGTGAGCAGAACAATGGGGGAAAAAAGTATTATGGACTAGGTTCAATCACTTGCAATTAAATGATTACTTACAAGATCACAATGCACAGAGATAAAATCTACCCAAACCTTTC